ATGTAGAATATTTTTTCCACATATTATAAAGCTCTGCCATACAAAATTTAAATGTTTGGGTTTTAGATGAATTTTATATATATATATAGTTTTATTCTAACATGTTTTTAAATGATTATGCAAGTTTTTAGATAATTTTACAAGCTTTTTAATGATATATTTATTGTTATGTCGTATAAAACGTTGTAAATGTGAATTTGTAGACTATGTAATTTAGATGAATTTTACATAAAATTTTAATTCTACATATTTTTAAATAACTATGCCAGTTGGCAGATAATTTTTACACCTGTCCAGTGATATATTTACTTTTGTATGTTTAGAATATTTTCAATATATTTCTCTTAAAACAAAAATATGTCAACATATAAAAGCTTGCCATGCAAAATTGAAGTGTTTGTGTTTTAGTTGATTTTTTAAATAATTAAGCCAGTATATAGATAATTTTAACAGCTTTCTAGTGATATCTTAGTTTTTGTAGGTATAGAATACTTTTTTCCAAGATATTTATGAAAAGCTAAGAAAATGTCGTCACATACCTTGAAGTGTTAAAATTGTCTACCAATTGTTCGAGCTTTAACTAAATTTTAGAAATAATTGCCATCAAATATAATAATAAATAATTACACCAAATTGCAGATAATTTTATCAGATTTTTAACTATATATTTATTTTAGTTTGTGTCGGATAAATTCTCAGATATTTATGACCAACCAGAAAAATATCTGCAAAGTTGAGCTTTTATCTTTTAGCTCAATTTTAATTACAATCCCATTTCGTAAAGCAATTTTAAAACAGACCGAGTGGTTGTAAAGTTTTATAATAGAAGAAAATGTCGTAGATTATTTAATTTTGAATAAATTTGCTGAATATGTCATTAATTTCAGACAAACCGTTTTAAAGTTACAAGAGATTTGACAAATTGCAAGATATGTTATAAATAAAAACCAGTTTGCGATGTTTCAATTAACACATTTGCTGAATAATTATTTATTTTGAAAATTCTGTTGAAATTTTATGAATCAGCTAACAGATGTTAATTGTAAAATTATATATATATATATATATATATATATATATATATTTAAAAAATAATGACTAAGTAATAATAAGAATTATTACAATTTAATTTGGAAAATTTCATAATTACTAATGTAACTGTCTCTATTTTTTTGTAAGTATTATTACAAGTTATTAAATATTTTTAATATTATTTTGTACTAAAATGTTTCTATTATAATTTGTCGAAATTTCGAGGATTTCCCATTTATTTTGTCTATGAAATACAAAAATAAATTGTCTATATCGATCATAGGGGTTATTTGTGCCCGCATTTACTAAATTGCTTGTAACTTTTTGTCAATTTTCGTGATTTTATTCAATAACACCACAATTTAAAGACAAAATTGTATAAAATTTTATCGGAAAATATTGTGCATTTATTTATAAAATTATAAAAAATACAAAGCTTCAAAAATTACGTAAACGCTTTTAGTCAAAACTCAACCTTCAACTCTCATTGTTGATATTTTGCAAACTAATTTTTTAAAAAAAGTACAAATGACAAAAATTGATTTGGCAATAGTTAAAATAAAAATGTTTCTAACAAACTATATAAAAAAATCTCAAAAATTTACAATAATTTTACAATCGCAAAACCATGCATCAAAATTGATTTAATCACACCGGTGCATCCATGTGCAAAATTCTTTATAACTTCTAAAAAAATTGCACGATTTTATTCAAAATTATTTTATTTTAACCACAAAACCTTACAAAATATTTTATCCAAAGACACTATGTATATAAAATCAAATTTGTAAAATATATACACAATCAAACTAAAACAAATAATTCACCATATAATAAATTCAATTATTTCCTGATGACTAAATTGCTTGTAACTTTTTGACAAATTTTCTGATTTTATTTAATAATATTGCGGTATTATTTATTATATATTGAAAGACAAAATTGTATAAAATTGTATCGAAAAATATCGTACGTTTATTTATAAAATTATAAAAAATACAAAGCTTCAAAAATGATGCAAATGTTTTAAGTCAAAAACACTCTCCTCTCAACTCTCATTGTTGATATTTTGCAAACTAATTTTTTTTAAAAAAGTACAAATAACAAAAATTGATTTTTAAATAGTTAAATTAAAAATGTTTCTAACAAACTATATCAAAATTCTCAAAAATTTACAATAATTTCACAATCGCAAAAACATGCATCAAAATTGATTTAATCACACCGGTGCATCCATGAGCAAAATTTCTTATAACTTCTAAACCAATTGCACGATTTTATTCAAAAGTATTTTATTTTAACCACAAAACCTTACAAAATATTTTATCCAAAGACACTATATATAAAAAATCAAATTTGTAAAATATATACACAATCAAACTCAAACAAATAATTCACCATATAATAAATTCAATTATTTCCTGATGACCAAATTGCTTGTACTTTTTGACAAATTTTCTGATTTTATTTAATAATATTGCTGTATTATTTATTATATATTGTAAGACAAAATTGTATAAAATTTTATCGAAAAATATTGTAAATTTATTTATAATATTATAAAAAATACAGAGCTTCAAAAATGATGCAAACGCTTTTAGTCAAAAACACTCTCCTCTCAAATCTCATTGTTGATATTTTGCAAACTAATTTTTTTAAAAAAATATAAATGACAAAAATTGATTTATAAATAGTTAAATCAAAAATGTCTCAAACAAACTATATTAAAATTCTCAAAAAATTGCAATAATTTTGAAATTGCAAAAACCAAGCATCAAAATCTATTTTAATCTAACCGGTGCACCCATGTGCAAAATTCCTTATAACTTCTAAACAAATTACACGATTTTATACAAAAGTATTTTATTTTAACCACAAAACCTTACAAAATATTTTATCCAAAGACACTATATACTTAAAATCAAATTTGTAAAATATATACACAATCAAACTCAAACAAATATTTCATCATATAATAAATGGAATTAAAACCTGATGATGACATGAAAGAAACATTCGAAAAGTGTCTAAAAATATATTTTTTAGAATGCGGAAGTTGCATAGTGTGTGAAAGTCTTTGTCTTTATATATAAAGACAGTTTGTTCTATTTTTTAATTTGAATTAATTAAATAATTAATTAGTCTTATGAGAAGAATAATAATAGATACATACATGTATATATATATATATATATATATATATATATATATTACGTCACTTTGCACAAGTGTTTTGGATCACGTTACACTATGGAATGTTATTTTATAATTGTTACAAAAGCATTGGTATACAAGAATTTAAATTTAAGGTGCAAAATAGTATAAAATTGCCTATATAAGTGACATTTTTATCTGTTTTTTCCCTTGTGGCCCTAGTATTTACCATCAATGTTTTACCAATGATTTAATATTTAGTTAGAATAACACACTTTTTATAATTTCTATCAATGTTTTCTTGACATTGCTGAACTTTAACAATTAACACGAACAAATTATCTTATATGCCGTTGCGTAATATCGTGTGTATATTCTATACATGGAAATGACATAAGAATTTATTTATATTAATATTTATTGCTCAATAACATGTGTTTCTATTGAGAAAAACAGAAGAATGGACTTTTAAGTTTTAGTTTGTAATATGATATTGTATTATTTTGCGTGTTTAGTATTTTTAAATAATTTTAAAAGACAGTAACGCACGGAACTTTAAGTAGTACAATATAGAGTATGCGTGGGAATTTTTTTCATATTTTTGCAAATATTTTTGAAATTTTGTTAAAAATATATAAATTTATATTATATCGTTGGAAAGCTAATAAAATTTTACACAAATTAGTGAAATTATTTTTCTTTATTTTTCTGTAAAATTATATTTAATTAGTGGGGTGCATGGCATCGTACCTTAAGGCAAAATGCTGGAACTTCCCGTACCAAAAATTATTTTTTTTTTAAAAGATTAACATTTCTGAAAAAAATTTACTCTGAAAAAATTAGATTTTTGAGAAACTATCAATTTTTGACAAAAATTTACTTTTTTTTTAAAAAAAAAAGACTTTTTGAAGAAAAATTTTATAAAATAAGTAAAATTTCTGAATAATAAAAATAATACTAGAAAAACAATAAAGTCGAATAAAAACAATAAGTGAAAGATAATAAATATAACAAAATAACAATATTAGAAATAATAAGATAATAATAATAATAATTCTGATTTTTGTTGAATTTCTTCATTTACAGTCAACATGTTGCTGTGATGAAAATATTGTTTTTTATGTAAAATTGAGCTTTTCGAATTTTATAAAAAACTCTTCCTGGCGGTTGGAAGGAATTCCTTCAAAATTGTAAGACATTTGTAAGCCTCGAAAAATATAAACAAAGCGAATCATTTTTCTGGTAAACTCGTTTTAATACTAACAATTGTATAATATTTCTTTTCTTTTCAGAAGATCTCGTAATTTTGTGTGCCATTATTGAAATTTTTACAGGTGCGCGTTCCAAAGTTACGTTTTGTGTTGTCTGTTATAAGTTACAACTCGAAATAAATTATTCGACAAAATGTCCTCTTCGATTCGATCGATTCCAAATTTAGGATCTTAATTTAAATAACCTAAAGTGAGTGTTTTTAGAGTACAGGATTTGAAATAAATACGTTTTCCAAAAAACCGTGTGATATAAGCCAGAAACAGTATTTTCACATGAACATTTAAAAAAAGTCGATACTTTGAGTTTCTAATAACACTTGCGGCCTGTTTAATAATATTTGTGTCTATAAATAAAACTACTTACCACAATTAAATGATATTCATCTAAAACACCCTATTAAATTTAATTGAACATAATCAGCAGTCAAAACCATTTGACGTTTGACGTATGAGCCGCCATCGATTGTTTCATTTTGAATTGCGCTCCTACCAAAAATTTTATATTAAAAATGTAAATCTTCTATGAGGTTTTGAAATAATATCTCACCTTTCCCACAACCTTTGGACTAAAACGAGTTCTTCAAGACTAAGACTGGCCAAAACCGTACAGTCTTTTTGGAGTTTTAGCATACCTAACATAATAATAATTAAGCAACAAGTTGTTATTTATTTAAATTATATAAATCAATTTGAATTGTTCATAAGCACATGTACATCTTTTTATATTAATAAAATATAACATAATATATATTCACAGATTCTTTATTCGAGGCATTTTCAACAAACTTATCTGGCAGCACACATACAAAATTGTAGGAATGATTTACTAAATTTTTTTAAATCCATACTTTTTGGTGAAATATAATATTCCTTGTGAATATCTAATATCACTACTGCTGACCAAGATTGGTATTTGTATTCGAACCTGAAACCAGTGATTAGTAATGCTCATTAATAATACTTAATACATAAAAATTAAAATAATAAATTATCATTACATACTTCATTCATCAGGATGCTCTCGTTTATGAATCAGCATGTGTTTTTTCAGATGACTTGATTGTGTAAATTTCATATTGCATACATTGCATTCATGGGTACGCTCCCCACTGTGAATAAGCATGTGTCTTTTCAGATTACTTAAATGTGTAAATTTCTTATTGCATATGTTGCATTCATGGGTACGCTCCCCACTGTGAATAAGCATGTGTCTTTTCAGATTACTAGATTCTGTAAATTTCTTATTGCATATATTGCATTCGTGGGGACGCTCCCCACTGTGAATGCGCATGTGACTTTTCAGAGTACTTAAATGTGTAAATTTCTTATTGCATATGTTGCATTCGTGGGGACGCTCCCCACTGTGAATGCGCATGTGACTTTTCAGAGTACTTAAATGTGTAAATTTCTTATTGCATATGTTGCATTCGTGGGGACGCTCCCCACTGTGAATGAGCATGTGACTTTTCAGAGTACTTAAATATGTAAATTTCTTATTGCATATGTTGCATTCATGAGGATGCTCACCACTGTGTATCTGCATGTGACTTTTCAAATAACTTGATGTTGTGAATGCCTTATTGCATATATTGCATTCATGAGGACGCTCCCCACTGTGTATCTGCATGTGACTTTTCAAATAACTTGATGTTGTGAATGCCTTATTGCATACATTGCATTCGTGGGGACGCTCCCCACTGTGAATAAGCATGTGTCTTTTCAGAGTACTTAAATGTGTAATTTTCTTATTGCATATGTTGCATTCATGAGGATGCTCACCACTGTGAACAAGCATGTGTTTTTTCAGATTACTAGATTCTGTAAATTTCTTATTGCATATGTTGCATTCATGAGGATGCTCACCACTGTGAACAAGCATGTGTTTTTTCAGATTACTAGATTCTGTAAATTTCTTATTGCATATATTGCATTCGTGGGGACGCTCCCCACTGTGAATGCGCATGTGACTTTTCAGAGTACTTAAATGTGTAAATTTCTTATTGCATATGTTGCATTCGTGGGGACGCTCCCCACTGTGAATAAGCATGTGTCTTTTCAGATCACTTAATCGATCAAAAGCCTTGTGACAGATTTCGCATTTGAAAGATCTTTCTTTGCTATTACTAGGCATATGTTCGATCATATGCTTTTTTAAATGATCTGATTCTGCAAATGATTTATTGCAAATGTCACATTCATGAGTTGGTGCCTCGACTAACTCCTGTTTGACTTCTTCTTCAATTTTCACCTCGGAATTCATGAATCTTTCTAAACACGTATCATCGTCTTCAGTAAACGATTCAGATTTAACAGTAACATCAGGATCATCGAATTCATCCTCCATTTCGAGTTTAATGTCTTCTGGTGGTTCAATTTTCACCTCGGAATTTATGAATCTTTCTAAACAGGTATCATCGTCTTCAGCAAACGATTCAGATTTAACACTAACATCAGCATCATCGAATTCATCCTCCATTTCGAGTTGAAAGTCTTCTGGTGAATATTCTGGTGGTTCAATTTTCACCTCGGAATTCATGAATCTTTCTAAACACGTATCATCGTCTTCAGTAAACGATTCAGATTTAACACTAACATCAGCATCATAGAATTCATCCTCCATTTCGAGTTTAATGTCTTCCGGTGAATATTTTGGTGGTTCAATTTTAATTGTCTGATCATTTATAGACATAATTGTTTCTTCCGACATTTTTAAAAATTTTCATAAAAAATTGACGAAAATAGTTGTGCGCTAAATAATGGTTTAGACTTATTAATAATTTTTTTTAATGTTATAAATAATTTCAACTTTTACATTTATTATTTGACATTTGAAGCATAGAGTTTTCATTTACAGCAGTAGAGAGAGTGGAAACATATTCGCTATGTGTGTAGGCATGCAATGGAACTCAAATTGTCTGAAGCGCTCGTAGTGGTCATTTTGAGCACTACGTAAGGCTATTATAACCAAAATAGGAAACAAATACGCGTGAAATATTATTTTATTTCAAATGTAAATAAATTAAATAACAAGTGGGGTGTATGGCATCGTTCGAGAAATACTGAATGTTCTGAAATAGATTATTATTAATATTGTAACATTGTCTAATATTGATAAGAATTATATAAACGGAATTGCAAAGTTGAAATTATTTGTTTAAAGTATATTAGAACTTTAGTCAGAATTAAAAATAAAATCTGAATTATTTTCGATATACAAAAAAAAAATATTTGAAAAAAAAAAATTGAAAAAAATATTTTTTTTCCAAAATCAATTATTTTGTTAAAACAAGCAGAAAGTTCTTTGAATCATTTAAATCGGACGCTTAGTTCTCTCAAATACTGCCATTTTTTGCACATTTAGCTTCGTATCTTCGAAATGGCAGGGCCTACCTTTGCCAAAAACTAATAAACAATTTTCCCAACCATTACTAATTGAATGTTTTTTAGATCATTCAAATCGGATGCTCCGTTCTCTCAAAAAGTCGATTTCTATTTTCTGCACTCTTTGCTCCGTATCTCCGAAACGGCTGGACCTGCCTTTGCCAAAAACTAATCAGCTCTTTTCCCTATCAATAGGAATCGAATGTTTTTTGAACCATTCAAATCGGTTGATCCGTGCGCCCGAAAACGTGACTGGAAATTTGTATCCATGCATACATACATACACACACACACACACACACATCAATTTTTTCTGAGGTATGCCATAACGTTCAGAAACCTTCAAAACGTCGAGAAATGTAAAAATTTTCAATTCCGATTTTCGGCCCATTACAATAACTTACCCTACGGGAAGTTAAAAAATTATTTATACAACTTGTATGTTTTTGGTATGACCAACTGCAAAGTTGAGACATACTTTTGCATTTTTTTCAAATAATTTTAAAAATTTTGAATTTTGAAGACTAAAATTTCCTGTAACACAGTATAATTTAAACATTCCTAATATTTACCAAATAATTTTACAAAAATATTTTTTTACACTTATTATATGTTAAAGCTTTGATTTACTATGCCTAGAACATTTTTTCATATTCTTGCAAATATCTTTAAAATTCCTAAGAAGACCTGCAAAGTATTTTATACCACTAAAAAATTCTACACAACCTGGTGTACTTAGCTTTTTTTACGTGCATGTAAAATTATTCTTAAAAATGCACGTTTTTGAAAATTTTGTGAAGCCTTTGTATGGCCATGTAGATTTTCTTGTATTGGGATCGTTTCGTTTTAGTGAAGACATCTGCTATCTGTTATCTTTTATATTTGATTTATATATATATATATATATATATATATATATATATATATGTATAAATATGTATACAATGTATGTAAATATTTAAAAAATGCCATGCTCTACTTTAGAATAGTTTAAAGGAATTCTCAAAACAAATAGTATAAATGTATATATATATATATATATATATATATATATAATTAGTGATAAATAGACAATTGGACTATATAAATTATTTGTATTTAGTTTATATTAAATTTATACAGATTTTTATTAATAATTATATAAACAAACTAGCTGACCCGGCAAGCGTTATTTTGCTAAGTAGGGTATATGCTAATCAATTTCTAGAGAATAATATTAATACTTTAAGTGCATAAGGATGTGTTGTTTGAATGCTGGCGGGGCAACTTGGAACAAATTTTATAAAATTCCTACCTTTAGCTTGAAATAATTCTTCAAAACTACACTCACTTTGCAATTGAAATAAGCCGCATTTGTGTTTATATTCACAACAAAAATATTTAATACAATAATATTAATAATTATAACAATAAGACAAAAATATATAGGTCCACAAACATATTATCATTATTATTAAATATTAAATTAAATTTAACTGCGACAATTTAATCACATCCGACATTTTGATTCTAATATCAATTCGGTTTAACGCATTCTTCACAGTTGTGCTTGCAGGGGTACCAACATTCTGCATATTTTTGCAAGCAAACGTTAATCAATTTTTTTATATATTCATATTATATTAATATAATATAACTAATTAATATAAGAACATATGTGTAAACAATCTAAATATAACTAATTAATAATATTAATATTTTTAAAGTGATCGCTAATATTTAAAACTTATACTTGTGAAGTTGGTGCTAATGTCCGCCATATTTTATTTGATTTGACGTTTCGTTTACAATAATTTTAAATGTGATGATTGTGTGAATATGTTAATTTACGTTTAATTAATAAATAAACCGTAACAATATGTTTATAATATTTAGTTTTATGTGTTATCAAAAAGTAAACGTTCAGAGTAATTGTAAAGGTCAATTATTTGATACGAGGTAAGATGTTAATTGTTAGTTAATTCAAAACTATTTATGTTTTTAAGTATCGATGAGTGACGTTTTTCTAAAAACTATTTACAGAAACTAATCTTAATGACTCAACAATTTAACGCCTAGTCCATTACTTATATATAAGTACATGATACGTACATATATACTTATATATATGTATATATATCAGGAAGTTCTTGCAATTTGCACTAAGGCAATATGCCACTCACACCTAGTTAAATACATAATAGCTTGCATAATTATTTTAAGAAAAAATGTTGATAACTATCTTATACGTTTTTATGAATAAGTACTCTTATACAAAGTCTGTGAAACGATCTGGTTATAATTATATAAAATTAATTTTATGTGCACTTAATTTTGACCTTAATTTTAAGTCGCATTAAACTCAGAAATGGCGAAATTTAAATTGATTAAAAATTGATTTTAATAAACAAACTTATAACGTCTGAGGAAAAAAGATTATGAAAATTGAAACCCATTTTTTAACTACACACACACATATATATAAATATATATATGTGTGTATATACTAGCTGACCCGGCAAACGTTGTTTTGCTAAATAAGGTATATTCTAAACAATTTCTAGAGAATCAAAAATATTAATACTTTAAGTGTATAAGGATGTGTTGTTTGAATGCTATGTACAATAAAAACAATAAACCCCATTAGTTTGTCTATATTTTGTCAATACAATCAAACTGTTTTATGAGGAAGTTTTATACATTTTCAATAGAAAACATGATATGATCCAATCCAAGTCATTTTTGGTCTTTCGACTTATTCATTACGTTTCAAGTTGTTCAGATTCTTTTTGGATTCTCGATTTTGTGTATAATTGTAAATAATACTACTGAGCTTATACAAAATTTTCAAATTTCAGCGAGAGAGATAGAAAATGAATTAAGTATTTCTTCTTTAACCTGCTTTTTGAAAAGTTTCAAGTAACATTCGATGAATTATAGTAAATTTAATAAAAAGTATATATGTAGAGCAGGGCGAGGCTCAAAGGTCCAATTTAAATTTGAGCAAATATTAATAATATTATGAGAATCAAACTAATTATATCACAACAAATAACACATTTAAAACGAACAATTATCTGACTACGTTCAGTAAAACTGCTAGCTACTTTATCATTGTAGAAATGTGCTTTTTTGATGTCTTTCAAGAATTTATGTGGACCTTTTTACCCTATAGAAGGGGTAACTTGGAACGGCCAGGTGGCAACAGGTTTAATGTCTTATTTTAATTTTAAAGGTATTTCACAAAATAAGTACACTTTAAACTAATTCTAAAAAAAAAACTACCAACGGAAGAAAATACTTTTATTATGGATTTTCAAAGATTACCGTTTCAGAGATTTTTGCAAAAATATAAAAAAATGTCCCTTGCATACATTATTAATGGCAAATTAATTTTATATGTTCTTATAATTATATATATATATATATATATATATATATATATATATATTTTAATTTCAAATTTATTCTTAATTTAAATATATTAGTATAATAATTGAATGCATTATTATTTTGATTAGTATATATATATATATATATATATATATATATATATAAAATTCAATAAAGTATAAAAATATTAACAATAAATTAGTTAAGTGACACAGGTCAATTTCATTGCTTTCAATTAATTTGTACACCCACATGGTTCAACTATAAAGTTCATATATATACATATATATATATATATATATATATATATATATATACAAGTATATTTGTCCAGGAATTTAGAACAAACTAATAAATGTTAAACGATGGCGCCATTTTTTGTTAAATAATTAGCAGAAATTCCAAAGACACTAATTAAATTTCCAATCAGTCACATATGTACATTTATATATACATGTATATACATATATATATATATATTTATATATATATATATATATATATATATATATATATATATATAAATGTATATATTAAGTGTTCTTAGTTGCTCATTAGTCAGGCGAGAATTTTATCTGCTCTCACAAGTATAAAGTTTCATTATTTATTTATTATTTAAATTTGGAGATTAAATAATGATAATTTAGTTATCATATCATATTTTAATATATATGTACATATATATATATATATAAACATATACATATATAAACTCCATATGTGCGATTACAAACAATTTGAATGATATGTTGCATAATAGTACTTAAGTCACTCCTGTTGTTTTATTAAATGAAAATATTTATTTTTGTACAAATTATATATATTTTTTTAATTTAACAAAATTGCAACTTTTCTAATACTCATTAAATTTGTTAAAAAACTTGTTTTAGTTTAATTTTTTTTAAAAATATCTTTTTAAATGTAAATTTAGTTAGAATTCAAATCGTTTCATTC